CGAAGCTGATGTATTTCCTCAGCGACCAGCACGGATCAGCTCCAGGCATGACGAAGCGGATATCGTCCTCTTTTGGAAGACCAAACAAAGTAGTTTCGCTTTCACAACGAAACACACAGCGTTTTCACAACATAATGGGGCCGGCAACAACAAAACTGCGTGAACATTTGGGCGGTGTTATGCAAATCTTCCCACATCGTGACGTAGATATGTGGGGGCGTGTTAGAACGAGCTGTTTTAGGAGGGCGTGGCTGACTCTTAACTTTTATAAAGAATATCTCTTTGGATTTGAGACTTTAGTCTTTGCAACTTTACAGATCTTCTTTATGCACCAAGAGCTTGTAACACTCCAAAGAAAAAGGACAAATTGAAATCGCATCATATGACCCCTTTAATTTTAGTCCTGTGTAATCTATGAAAAAGTATGTCGACAAAAATGAAGACTTAATCATGTTCTCTGTAATTAAACATTTGCTTCCACTGTAAATTACTCAATTCAAAATGATCAATGAGATAATAGCAAAAACTGCAATATGCACCGTCTTGGACCAGTTTTCTTATTTGTTGCATCGCTACTAGATAACGCTGTTCATTCACATTACAGCATGATTGTGGATCCTGTAGTAAAGAAATGCTGCTCAAACAAACCTGGACTGAAGATTGCTTAATCTTACCATTTAAACATTGCAGTCATTCATAACCATGAATATAAGCACTCTTAGACGGATTTTTTACTGAATTACAATAATACAATAATAGATTCCTTGTTGTACTTATGTACAACAAGGAACTTAACAGTTGTACAATGTACTTAACAGTGATTTTGTTGTTGTTACAATCACATAATTAGTGTCAGTGACAGTAGTAGGCTACAATTACTTATTTTTATTTTATTTTTGAAAATAATTGAAGGCATAATAACGGAATACACATTTGCATATTGTTTTAAAGACATTAAGAAAAAAATGAAAAGAATTTGTGTGATTAAGCTAAAAACACAAAAAGACCATTTTCGAAACATTTGGAGATTATTAGGCTACTGTAGGGACATGTTCTAGCAATGATATCAAATAATGATTTTACTTCCACACTCACCATTTATATGCCAGTATAAATAGATTAATGAAAATGAAACTGAAAATACTCCTATTTTCCATAAGCCTACTTGACTTAAATGAAAGTTATCTATTATTGTATCAAACAATATGGTTATATATGGGTGCTGTAATATTCATAGTTTGTTTGAAATACTGAAACATGTAGTTTAGACGCGACTGTCTGTCATAACTCCGCCCTCTTCAGACCCTCGTCTCTTCTGAACTCGGTCACACTCTGTCAGAAGGTTTATACAAGCTTCACCGGACTACAATGACTGATAATCAGCTCCAGAGCAGTTTCTCTGTAACCCTGGTCTCTCTGGATGAGAGCGACATGAAGCAGGAGCTGGCTCGTCCTCGTCCTCATCAGGGGCTCACACTTCTAGTCCACACAGAGATGGACTTCTCCCTCAGCATTAATGATGGTAAACAACATTACTTTACATGTCCAAGATATTGTGTATAGGCTAGAGGCACACAAGTATCGTAATAGTCAGTTAATATGGTTTGGGAAGAATTGTGTGAGAAATATAATTCAGAAGTAGGCTAAATATTGAAATCTGTGACTTTTGATTGCAGACTTGCGTGTTTTGGCAAATATAAGCAAACATTAAATTTTTTTTTGACATTGTCATTGAGTTCTACAGTGTCATTGATTTACGTTTAATATTATTATTAGACATTTATTTAGGCCTATTTTTAGACATGGCTGAGATCGCTTCTGAAATTTTGAGAAGACATAATACGTTGGCGTTCTTACGCTTTACATTCGTAATAATTGTGCATAATTACAAGCAATTAGCATTAAACCAAACACCAACCCTAAACATAGAGATGCACCATACTTAATACATCTAATATTTATTTAATATTTATTTGTGCATATTAAAATAAAGTGTGGCCGGAGACACATGAGAGAAGCAAGAGACTTAAGTCTCCATTTAAAACTAATTAGTTGATTCTATTAGCTGAATAAACTGAGATCTCATTGGTGATTTTCCTTTCCTATGGATCCCTTTTGGTCAGTATTGTTTTCCTTTTTTGTAATTAATTAGTCATTAGTCAGTATCATGTAATGCCCATGTTCAACATGTGCTGAATGATATGAAGAGCAAAGACAGTGAAGAACCACATGGAAGCATTTACACTGTAAATAACATCATATCATACACATTTCTCCACTGGCTCTTTGAAGTGTCGACGGGCAAATGAAGACTCTTTATTCAGGTGTGCCACACATTTTCTGGAGTCTCATTGTGTGGTCTGGCTGCACTGACAGATGGCCAGATTTGCGGCTCCGCTGTTGGTTCTCCGTGAGCAGCGAGGCTGTTCTGCTGCTTGAGCTCTAGCATGTGTTTTCTTTGACATGGTACACTGGTCCTGGCCGCCAGCGCTTTCTGCCTCCTGGTGCACAAAATCAGATAGCACCGCTCTGGTGTTTTTCTGTATCCCATGTGCCTCACAAAGCAGTCATTTCTGATGCCAACTTATGGCTGAGCCACTGATCTGAAACCTACATGACTTACTTTCTTCCGTAGAGGACAAAAGGAGATGTTTAGCAAAAGGTTCATGCTTCTGTTTTCTTTATTGAAAACGTTTAGTGACCACAAGCTGCTAAGCTTGAAATCAATTATAGTCCTTATTCATTAAAAAAATGGGGGGGTACTCATTATCAGAAGAGATTTGGGGAAATCTCAGCAATGGATGCTCTGCAAGTGAATGGGTGCCGTCAGAATGAGAGGTCAAACAGCTGATAAAAACATCACAATAATCCACAAGCAATCCACACCACTCCAGTCCATCAGTTAACATCTGGAGAAGACAAAAGCTGTGTGTTTGTACGAAACAAATCCATCAATAAGGCAACGTTAATTGCTTCTTGCCAAAATCCATAATAACACTTCCTCCAGTCCATCTCCTGTTGTCTCTCACATCAAAATCCACCTAAATCCACATATTTGCTTAGAACTGTTTTGGACTGTTTTTGTTGCAAACGGTGCTTGATTTTCTGTGCAGATCTTTCTCCTGATTCAGACTCTTTCACCGGATAAAGCAATATTTTGGATCGATGACTTATATTTTTAGTTGGGAAGTTAACACAATTTGCAATGCAATTCCAAAAGGGGGAGAACAGCATTTATTTGAAACGGAAATCTTTTGTAAAATGATAAATGTCTGTACAGTCACTTTTCATCAGTTTAAATCTGTCCTCGCTGCATAAAAGTTCTTAAAATGTTTTTTTTTTTTAAATGACGCCAAACACCATTGGCTGCCACAAGAATCACAAGACATGCTAAGTTTGAAAATGCGGAAGTGCAAATGAGATTTGAGAGTTGCAACAGAAAGGAAGATTTGTAGTGAATAGCGATTCAATTTTGGATCGTCACACCAAGCTCTTGTAAGACTCGGAACAAAGTACATGAGTTTAATAAACTGCTTTTTTGTACTGTTTGGATCTTGACTATAAACCACCATCCACTTTAATTTGACATAAAAGAGCTACGTGAACATTTTTCGAACATCTCCTTCCAGAATTGTAACTGAGGTATGACCTAATCCTTTCATTATGTAAATCAGCATTCATATGTCCAGTGTGTTCTTATGCCTTCAGATGCTGGTGTTTGTGTTTTTAAGTTCTCCATCACGAGGGACACAGAGTGTTGCCGGGTGGCCACCCGCTCATTCCTCATCACTCTGGGCTGTTTCAGTATCATCGTGCACTTCACCACTCAGTCTGGTTAGTATTCTGCGCTTATCTAGACTTCTCATCACTCTTTACCTCAAAATTATCATATTTAAGCCCGATTTTTGCCTGATCGATCTTCCAAACGGGACAGAAGCGTTTCGATCTCATGTGACTCTTTAGCAGAAGCCAAAAGTCACTTCAAACACTTTCAAATGATCTCGTAGCATTATTAATTCTTTATTGCTTTTCAGTATAATTTCGATAATATTTTGCTAGTAATACTAATCCAAGATCAAAGCATGGAATATTTCGGTCTTTTTCCTCTGAAAAGCATTGAGTTTTTCCAGCACATCTGTTGTACATCTGTATTTAACGGCTGAAAGAGATTTTGGAAACATCCACTGGTACCCGAATCAAAAAATGGCATACCCTGTGGAGACACGCTCAACATCACACTCTTTATACAGAGGAAATGACCTAAAAGCTCTAAAAATGTTCATGTTGTTTAATACAATATCTAATATATAGAGTCCATAACAAATGTATTTCACCTCGTTTTATTCTATTTCCATTTGGCTAAATACTGTAATATGATATTTACTGATGATATACCGATACTGATAATAACAGTGAACTATACTCTCATCTAGGTTAATGTTGGTTTCTAGATATACGTATACATTTTTAACATTTCAAGTTAAATTAGCAAAATTAACATGAATGTGTTATGATCCCACAACTAACAGTTAACAATATTATCTTTATACATTAACATTAACCTTGATTGACCCTGTAAAGCCTGACAAATGAAATGATAAAAACTTTGTTTTTCGTTGATACATCAGACATTTATGGCTCAGAGAGTATGATATAGTGTGAATATGGAGAGGAGGAAAAAACAACCTCAATTTTAGCTTGAACATTTGGGTGGCGTTATGCAAATCTTCCCACATAGTGAAGTAGACATGTGGGGGCGTGTTAGAACGAGGTGTTTTAGGTAGGCGTGGCTGACTCTTAACTTTTATAAAGAATATCTCTTTGGATTTGAGACTTTAGTCTTTGCAACTTTACAGATCTTCTTTATGTACCAAGAGCTTGTAACACTCCAAAGACAAAGAAAAAATGTAAATCGCATCATATGACCCCTTTAAGAGGCCCAAACTGAGAAAAAAATATATATTTTGGTGCAGATGCTGATATTTATATGGCAAAAAGTCAAATTCAAAAAGAAAATCTGCTTGTAATTTAAATCAATGAGATCTTCATAACAGTATAGCAGCCTACATACATAAAATGATATAAATATCAGACGTCACTCTACATTTAATGTAATGCAATTCAGTGACGATTGAGAGATGAACAAATAAACGCTCCTCAAAAGCCTGATGGATCATATTTGATACTCGCATTTGAACATGATTTTTCTAAATAATAATTAAAAAAAGATTGAAAATAGGATTATCAAGTAAACCTTGCTGTTTCAGTCCAGTAAATGTTCATCTTGAAATAAAACTAACAATATAAAAGTTATTATATTTCTTATATTATATATTAATCTCACAGCAAAAAGACACATGAAGCATGAGCTGAAGGTGGATGTTTTTTTTTAAATGCTCAACACTGACTTTCAAAATCCTTCGTCATTTGAATTAAGATGATAATAATGACATTTTAAAGCACCGCCACCTTTCTTTGAAAGCATTCCGAGGTTAAATACAGATTTAAATACAGATTGTGTTATTGTGCTGACGAGTGAATTCTGCACAGAGTTTGAGATCTTCCACAGAATGCTGCGCTCATGGCACGAGCTCAGGAGAGATCAGTCTGTGTTTCAGCAGAGGACAGACGGTTCATCTGCACTGCAGTACTTCCAGGTAAAGAGGAGGAATACACTATGAATCTCATAAGAAATGTGAGACATTTGTAGTTTTCTCTCAGTTCTATGGCTGTCTGTCCCCGCAGCAGAACATGCTTCAGGATTATCTCAGGACTGCAACCTACCAAAAAGCCATTCTGCTCAACGAAGTTGACTTTAAAGATAAAGTATGTGTTTATGTTCTTCACCGGCTAGTTTATTCTGATTTACCTGATAATATTACATCAACAAACACAGCAAACATTATCCTGTTTTTTTTGTTTTTTTTTAAACAATTGCTAGGACACGTCTATCATTATTTGGGACACTTTTTCAAAACTCTTCACATAGTTCTTGTTACCAACTTTCAGCTATGATAATAAATGTAAAAAAAATTCTGAGTGCACCTTTAATATTTGTAAAAATACGAGCTTTAGTGAAATATATCATAGCTGGTATGTGTTAATTTTCTTAATTTTCTGCAGTAGCTCAACTAAAGCTTTTATTGTTATGGTATTTCATGTGTTTGCAGGTGGTTCTTGATGTAGGCTGTGGAACAGGGATATTGTCCTTCTTTGCTGTCCAGGCCGGGGCTAAGAAAGTGTACGCAGTGGAGGCCAGTTCTGTGGCCAAATATGCAGAAGTACACACAATCCTATTTTTGATTCATTTACTTACCCTCGTGTCATTTCTTGCTGGAACACAAAAGATGCTCTGTTTAGGAGAATGTTCACACTTCTGTATTCCATGCAATGACAGTGTATTAGAAGTGTTATAAAAATAGTCTGTGTGACACATGCACTGTAGTGCACAGCTTCTAAAGCCATACGATGTCTTCGTGTGAGGAACAGACTGAAATGTAATTCTCGTGCTCAAAATCTTGTTTACTGCAGCTCTCAAATCTTATTCCCACCTCTGCATATTCAAATGTCAGCTATGAGACACATGAAAACCATTCGGCAGCATTGTAGTGTGATAGATCTTCAAGCAAATTTGAATATATACACAAATTAAAATGAAATTTGAGTGTTTTTTCAAAAATAAAGGTTTGGGTCTGTTCCTTACACAGTTGTTGTAAGCCTTCAGACGAGTTGGATCACACACAGACTACTTTTATGATGCCTTCATGTCCTTTTTACAGCATATTTTCCCCAAACACTTTATTGCAAGAAAAAGAGCTAAATGAACATTCTGCAAAATGTCTCCTTTTGTGTTTTATAGAAGAATCAAAATCACATGGCTTGGAATGACATGGGGGGAGTAAAGACAAACTTCCATTTTTGGGTGAATTAACCAATTAATCATAATATTGGGAAATCTGATAATGTGTCAGTGTGCAATTCTAAAAAAAAAAATGGCCCAATGTACCATGGTGGTATGAAAGGATTTGACTAATTTTTTTATTATTATTTTTAATTGCATTCAGTTGTGTTAAAGAAAATGTCTATAAACAGAACCAAAAATAAAAATTAGCTAAAGATTTATTCACCCGCAGGCCATCCAAGATGTAGATGAGTTTGTGTCTTCATCAGATTTGTAGAAATGTAGCACTGCATCAGTGTCTCAGCAATGGATCCTCTGCAGTGAATGGGTGCCGTCAGAATGAGACTCCAAACAGCTGATAAAAACATCACAATAATCCACAAGTAATCCACTCCACTCCAGTCCATCAGTTAGTGTCTTGTGAAGAGAAAAGCTGCGTGTTTGTAAGAAACAAATCTATCATTAAGATTTTTTTATTAGTCATCAAGAAACTAATTTCTTGTCAAAATATGAGTCCATAATGCATAATAACTCTTCCTCCAGTAAAAAAGCCATCATCTGTTGTTAAGAAATATTTGTTTAGAGCTGTTTTGGCTTGTAAACGATGCTTGATCTGTGACCAGATTACTTTTTCACTAAAAAAAGCAATATTATGGATAGATGACTCATATTTTAGCTGGAAGCAACGTTTTAAGTAAAACAAAAACATCTTGATGATTTCTTTAAAAAAACACACTTTTTCCCACTTCACCAGACATTAACTGATGGACTGGAGTGCTGTGGATTGCTTGTGGATTATTGTGATGTTTTTATCAGCTGTTTGGACTCTCATTCTGACGGCACCCATTCACTGCAGAACATCCATTGCTGAGACACTGATGCAATGCTACATTTCTACAAATCTGATGAAGAAACAAAGTCATCTACATCTGAGGATGTCCTGAGGGTGAGGACGTGTTCAGAAAATTATTTCTTTAAAGCAAATCATAGATTTCCGTTCCAAATCTATTACAAAGAGCTTCCAGTGCACAGTGAGGACATGTGTATATTTTGGCCAGCGGTTGGATGTGCTTGGATGATAAATCACTCATCACTATCTTTGCTGTCACACCCATTTGGCCTGAAGTTCAGGGCTATGGGTTTTGTGGAAAAATACCCAGGCCGAGACATTTTCACAAGGCAACACCTTCAAGAGGTCCTTCAGAAGGATCTTTCCTTGACGTCTGGAATGTATGACATTCTGGCTGCTAAATGACTTGAAGACAGATTTGGTCCGGAAACTTGCGTAGTGGGCAAGGACACATGTTTTCATGGATAAAGACTGCTTTCTCAACAGTGCTAATAGCACTCTTTTTCTCATTTAGTGGAAAGCTCTTGTTACTCTTGTAGTATTTTGTAGACTACTACCACATGTGTTTGTGTTTCTACTGCCACATCTAAATTTCCAAATATATCCCACAAAACCTTTAACTGTTCAGCTCTAAATTATTTTCTTTGTTTAGAAAAGAGATTATGAATGAATTTGTGTATTATTTTGCAAGGGTGATAATCAGACCCATATTTGTAAACTCTTCCTCAATGCTTGTAAGGAATTTTCCATTTAAAGTTGATAAAGCTTAAGTCGTTTTGTCATTCTTCTCTCTTCAGACTCTAGTGAAAAGCAATAACTTGTCCAACAAAATCACGGTTTTGTCAGGAAAGATTGAGGAAGTTTCCTGCTCAGAGAAGGTGGATGTGATCATCTCAGAGCCCATGGGCTACATGCTCCTCAATGAGAGGATGTTAGAGAGCTATTTGCACGCCAAAAACTGGTTAAAACCCAAAGGTCTGTACATCGAACAACAATCACCACATTTCCCTTATTGGGATAAATCATCCAAAAATTTAAATTCTGTCATTAATTACTCACCCTCATGTCGTTCCAAACCTGTAAGACCTTCGTTCATCTTCGGAACACAAATTAAGATATTTTTGATTAAATCCGAGAGCTTTCTGACCCTGCATCGACAGCAATGCAACCGAAACGCCCAAGGCCCAGAAAGGCAGTAAGGACATCGTTAAAATAGTCCATGTGACATCAGTGGTTCAACCGTAATGTTATGAAGCTACGAGAAAACTTTTTGTGCGTAAAGAAAACAAAGATAACGACTTTATTCAACAGTTCTTCTCTTCCGTGTCAGCCTTCGCCACGCGTTCACATGGACTATTTTAACGATGTCCTTACTACCTTTCTGGGCCTTGAACGTTTCAGTTGCATTGCTGTCGATGCAGGGTCAGAAAGCTCTCGGATTTAATCAAAAATATCTTGATTTGTGTTCTGAAGATGAACGAAGGTCTTACAGGTTTGGAACGACATGAGGGTGAGTAATTAATGACAGAATTTTCATTTTTGGGTGAACTATCTGTTTAAATGCATGTTTAATGTTTTAATGTATGTTGTGGTCAAATGTTATGGGTTATTAGTTATCGAGTACTTGTACTTGTTTTCTCTCACTGTCCAGGCATGATGTTCCCGACTCAGGGTGACATTCATCTGGCTCCTTTCACTGATGAACAACTGTACATGGAGCATCACACCCGCTCTAACTTCTGGTAATAACTACTTTGCCATCTATACTGTAGCAATTCTCCAAGCTGCCATTTTCATTCATAGAAAGAACATCTGGATGTCTAGGAAATAGGACATCTGCCTTTTAATTTTTATTGCCATGTACTGGCCCATGTACTGTATAACTGTAGACATTTTTTTGGCTCTACAAAATAAAAAATAAAAACGTAGGAATTAACCAAAATTATTGTCTACGGTAATGGACGTTTTTCCACAAATGGTGTTGAGAACATTTCTTTAATAGTACACATGAACATGCTGCTACAGACCCTCTCAACCATGCATCACACTGAATGTTTACAGCCTCATCCATGATGGTTTATTTGACATTGGCCCACAGGGGGTTGTGGTTTGCTAGCATGGAAAGACAGTAATCATCCCACCGCCCACATGCCTGCACTGTACTTGCACCGTGCCATGACCAAACTGAAGCCAAGCAGCTTCCCGGTGCTGTAAAACACTGTGCTTCAGTCCAAACCTGACTCATGGCACATAGTTCTCTGCTCTCTGTCTGTGCTGTTAAATGAGGAGTTTCATACCCTGTGTGACCGAACTTCAGAACAATAAATGAAATCATCATCTCACTGTAGCTTTTATTACAAACACAGATAATGTTACCAGGTGTCATGTCAAGTTTAACACCCAATATTTATGTTAGAACAAAAAAAAGGCTTGTGTTTTGCAGTGGGTACGTGTTGAAATGTTCATCTGTTCGAAACTTTTTGGCTTAAGTTGTAAAGAACTTCTGTGGAATGACATTAAGATTCCCTCTTGATAGCCATTTTATAATACAGTTGGATGGTTGTATTTTATTTGCATTTAACATCGTTCTTTCCTCCTCTTGAAACCCACCGGTTTCCATAAATAGTGATGAAACTACTCCTCTAAAACAGTTATTCTCACTAGGGGGCCTCAGCAAACTTCCAAAAGGGCCTCAAGATGTAGAAATAAGACAAAGCATGCATTTAAATGAGCTAGAACAACTATAAATATATTTCTTAATTTAATTAACCCCATCAGCAACTGTTTTCCATTTTTGAAGAACCAGGGTTCCCACAGCCTTGGGAAATCTGGATATATGAGCTAGTCTAATTTTAATCATCCGAGTTAAAGACCTGGAAATGTCATCTAAATCAATACAATCTTGAAATGCTATGGGCATTTCTTGGAAACATGTTTAACCCCAAACAACTGGAATTTGATTTTAAACCAGGAATCAGAGATGTTTCTATGGTGTGAACTTGAGCGGGCTTCATTCTTCTGCTGTGGATGAGTTCTTCAGACAGCCAATAGTTGTGAGTCCACACTGAGTACAACGTGTACAACATCCATGAATCTGGTTCATGGATTGCTTCATAATGTTGTCAGAGAGGATCTTAATGTCTTTGTGTTTCAGGACACATTCGATATGCAGATTCTCATGGCCAGGTCTGTGAAATACACAATCAACTTTCTGGAGGCAAAAGAGGAAGATTTACACCGGTAAAGGCAATTCAAGAATATAGCTGCATGCTGCAATTATGGGCTCAAGCATACCAGTAGCATGCATATTTTTAGGAAAAGTCTTTGAGTGCATTCACCATTTTATTTTTTCAGTTTATAACTTTTAAGTTATAAGTCAGTGTGCATCACTGTAAATGTATCTGGCATTCTTAGCAGTGCCAAAAATAACTGCACCTTTGTCAATATATAAAAGTGCGACTTTTCAAATATTTTTCTGGAGATTGGTGGTTGATTTCAGGTTAGACAAACTTATGGAATGGCTGTTACTAAACTGGTCTTGTACTCTCAGGGAGTTGTAACAATGAAACAAAGTCAATGCACGTATACAGCCTCCCTGTTTGGCATCTTTACTATCAAAATGTATCCATTTAACATGCATCAACTTAAATTTATGTTACAGGAGAAGAGATGTTTCAAAAATCATGTAATCATTTTTGATCAGCATGATCTTAAGATGATTTGTGCCAAATTTAGGTACAATCTGTTAAAAAGCCTGTAGGGTACATTTGAAAATGTATGACCTAGAGCTTTGTCTTTATATTTGTAATGTATGTAATTCACAGGTTGGAAATTCCATTTGTCTTCAAACTGCTGCAGTCAGGGTTGATTCATGGACTTGCGTTTTGGTTTGATGTGGCCTTTGTTGGCTCAAGGTGAGAATCACAAATGTGAAAGGAAAAGTGTCTGAAGACAACATGCTTGAAAGTATAATAATTGTGTTCTTCTGTACAGGATGACAGTATGGCTGTCCACTGCTCCAAATGAACCTTTGACTCAATGGTATCAGGTGCGCTGTCTTCTGCAGACCCCCCTGTTTGCCAAAATGGGGCAGACGTTATCTGGACGGGTTCAGCTAATAGCCAACAAGAGGTATGACTAACTTTGTTTATGCATATGACGAGGGGTGCATAACATTTCCATATCTGGAACACTCAATGTAAATTATAGCAGGGTAAACTACTGTAGATGTTCATAGGATGTAATGTATGTAATTCACAGGTTGGAAATTCCATTTGTCTTCAAACTGCTGCAGTCAGGGTTGATTCATGGACTTGCGTTTTGGTTTGATGTGGCCTTTGTTGGCTCAAGGTGAGAATCACAAATGTGAAAGGAAAAGTGTCTGAAGACAACATGCTTGAAAGTATAATAATTGTGTTCTTCTGTACAGGATGACAGTATGGCTGTCCACTGCTCCAAATGAACCTTTGACTCAATGGTATCAGGTGCGCTGTCTTCTGCAGACCCCCCTGTTTGCCAAAATGGGGCAGACGTTATCTGGACGGGTTCAGCTAATAGCCAACAAGAGGTATGACTAACTTTGTTAATGCATATGACGAGGGGTGCATAACATTTCCATATCTGGAACACTCAATGTAAATTATAGCAGGGTAAACTACTGTAGATGTTCATAGGAAATAGAGATCGACCGATATATCGATTTACCGATATTTTTCCCGCTATTTAAGCATTTTACAACAATCGGATATCGGTTTTGTAATATCGGATTCACCGATAAACGCCGTCATCTTGTGGATGTTTTGAGATTGCACGCAGGATCACCATTGCAGCGCATCTGAGGGGAAACAAGACAACAACAACGGTGTGCACGGGTACTTGATTTACTGTAGTTAGTAAACTTTATTTAACATAACAGCCATTAATGCACAAATGAGATGTACATAAATGCCTGATATGCAGTTTATGCAGCTTGGCTTGAAGAAATATCCGTTTCTCCGTCAAGTCCTATAATCCGTCAAGTCCTGTCCCAATAAAGACGTAACTTTGCGTGAATTAAATAATATGCAGCCATGAATGGGTGTATGTTGGAAATAAAAGTGCTGAATTTA